TTCAGATTTTGATCAAGGGAAATCTTGGCAGGAGCTGAACTAATGGTGTATGGATCTTCCAAGATATCTAGAGCATATTTCTTTGACATGTCTGAAGGCCATGTTGAGACCTTGCCACCATGTTGAGACCTTGCCACTTCAATGCTAGAAAGTACTTTTAACTTTCCTAGGTCTTTAATTTTGAACTTGTCATTGAGAGAGACTTTAAGACTATTGGTGGTATCAACACAATTTCCAACCACTATTATATCATCTACATAAACCAAAATGAATGTGAAAAAGCTACTAGTGGAATTAGTAAATAGACTATAGTCTTCTCTTGATTGGATGTACCATTCCTTAATAATGAAATTGGAAATTTTAGAGTATCACTAACTCGAAACTTGTTTCAATCCATATAAGCTCTTGCGCATTTGCGGACTTTGTTGCCACTAACCTTTGAATAACCAGGGGGCTGCACCATGTTGATGTTCTCATCTAAATCACCATGTAAGAAAGCATTATTCACATCAATTTGACACAAATTCCCGACTTTAATTGTTGCTATTGCAAATAATGTTCTAATGCAACTAACTTAGCCACGGGGAAGAATGTTTCGTGACAATCAAGTCCTCATGTTGAGTGTACTCTTTTGCCACAAGACGTGCGTTGAACCTTTTAATGCTATCGGTAGCATTGAATTTGATTCTAAACACCCATTTACATCCTATGGCTAAACCCGTGTATCATTAAGTCTTAAAGCCTCAATCTTAGCTTTCATGGATGCACACCATTCATGAAAGGTCGTGGCTTCTTGATAGTTCTTAAGCTCAAAGTGATTTGTTATTGAAGCTATAAAAGCACGGTGAGGTGTAGATAGTTTGTCATAGGAAATACTATCTCTAAGAGGAAATATACTACCTATAGTATTCACTTCCTTTTGCTTGTTCAACTTCTGAGATGGAAAAGGTGAAGAGATCTGCTCACATATGAAGTCCTGTGAATGAGAATGAGCCTTTCGAATTCTACCAGACCTGTAGGGTAATTGTGTGACAACGGGATGATTTGGTTCCAAAGTGTCAATTGGGGGCTATGATACATCATGACTAGCATCCATATAGAAGTTGGGGGTTTCTGTATAGGCTGAAGTATTTGAAATGTCAGGTAGAGATAAATATAGCTGACTAGCACCTATATGTTCAATATAATTTGTATCATTAAGTGAGGAGATGTTAGGATCTTTAGAGGTACTAAAATTTGTATGAAAATAAGATGATCAAAATTAGACAGAAGAGTATTGCTATTGGAATTAAGGTCCCTGCCACGAAAAATGCTCTCATAAAAGATGACATTCCTTGTAATGAAAATTTTCCTTGTGTTTAAATCTAACAGTTTGTATCCCTTGATGCCAAGGGATAACCAATGAAGACGCACCTTCTAGATCTAAGATCAAACTTGTGTCTACCATTGGCAAAGGTGGTGGCAAAAGCTTGGCATCCAATGACTTTTATGTAAGTATAGTTTGGTTTAGTTTGAAACAGTATTTCAAATGGGCTTTATGGTTTAAAATGGGAGTTGGTGGTCTATTTATGAGATATAGAGATGTAAGTAAAAAATCATTCTAATACTTCATCGACTGAGCTACAGTCGTTGGACTAGTTGAGCACTGACTCCTATTCTAGTACTATAATTGGGTGAAAGCTTTGCCGAAGAACCAAGAGCAGCCTTTCCTATAGAAAAGGGATAGCATGGAGAGAAATAGTTGGTACTATAGACCAAATCATGTCCACTAATAAAATAAGATTATGGACCAAAAACTAGCTGGAATAGTAGGCATAAAGTAAATTGCCCAACGTTTCAAAATTATTCAACTTTAGAGAGTCTACTTTGAAACTTCAAAACTCTTGCCACATTCAAAATGTGTTTATATTTTCATTCTACCACATCATTTTGCTCTGGTGTTTCAACACAAGTTCTTTAATGCATTATTCCTTTTCTTAGGTAAAATTCCGTCATGTTGAATTTGTTGACCTACGGTTGACTTCTCGTTCTGATTATAACAAACAAATTATGTTTATTACTAACAATTGTATTTGAGTGATTATAGAAGTTATGACAAATGTAGTAAATCGAAGACAAAAGGTTGCTTTTGGAGCTTTCACAAAAATTGAAGAAAGTAGAAGCCGAGCTACACAACAAGTCAACAAGCACTTCATCAAGTCAAACTATGAAGAAATTTGAAGAAATTAGACTTAGACACCTTGATTTCAAATGTAAAGGTAAAACACTTTAGTATTTGGCAAATATGTTATTTGAAGCTCAAGAAAGTTTCTTCGCACAACAAACACGATTTTTTGCATAAATAATTTTTTAAGGCATGAACCTAATTATACACTTTAAGAAATGTCAAAAATCTTGAAAAACAAATTAGAAACATTTTTCATGAGATTACACCCTTTTAGAACATTAAAAGAAAAAAATTCTAACTACTAAATACAAATTGGTCTAGAGGACACGTCCTGTAACTCTGGCGGACGCATTCAGTAACTTTGGCCTAGGGGACGCATCTGGTAATCCTAGCGGACCTCCGGTGCGACAGGTTTGTCCAACGGTCTGAAAATTGAACGTTCTGACTTATGAACAAAAAAAGGTTAGTTGACCGTCCAATAAGCTAGAGGACGTCGGATAGCCTCATCGGGTAAGATAGAACTTTTGATGATTTTGCCGCTATAAATACCAGATCAATTTGTATTCAAGACAACAACTCCAAAAGCATTAAAGTGAGATTTTCTTGAGCTTAAATAATTGTTTTATATTCTTTACTCATCTCTATTCATTCTTGAAAAACTTTTGATTGACTCAACCTCTGATAGTCATCTCATAAAAGTTTTTCATATCTAACACTTGAACTTCAATTATTGCTATTTACTAAAGTGTTAACCTCCTTCTCTTATTGTACTCAACTCTGAATAAATTATTCATTACAAGAGAAGTCTCTATTTATAAACTCTTTATTTTCAAACTTGTGGGTCGGGTTGAAGTCCCGAAAATTTCAACATTGTAAAGGAACGGTACTCTTTGCTTATAAGTCATCGGAAGCATTGTAAGAAGGATAGATTGCACCAGAAGTCAATCAATATAGTAAAAAATGTCTTGATCGTGATGGAGAGCTTGGTAATGGGGGACATAGATCTTTGCATTGGATCGAACCTCCATATCATATCGTTTTACTTCTCTTCCCTTTTACTTATCTTTGCTTTTATTTATTACTTGGGAATTTATCTTAGTCTTCGTTCCCTTTCATATTTGACTAATTGCTACATTTAAGTGAGAATTAATTGTATACATAAAACTATTTTTCGAGAAAGTTACTATAACCAATTAACCCTCCCCCCTCCTCTTGGTTAGCTAATCTTGGGCTTTCAATTGGTATCAGAGCAAAGGTACCTACTTACTTAGACTTCACAATCTAGAGTAAATGGCTAACCAAATGTTTCAATCTCTTGAAGTTCACTCTACCAACCGACCTCCCTTCTTTGATGAAACACATTACAATTATTGGAAGGCTAGAATGATGAGTTATATTCAATCCATAGATTACAACATTTGGGAAGTGATTGAATATGGGCCTTATAAACCTACTAAGACTATCAAGATAGATGGCCAACCCGACCAAGTCATTCCCAGACCTAGGGAAGAATATGATGAAGAAGATAAGAGAAAATTATCCTTAAATGTAAAAGCTAAGAATCTTCTTTATTATGCATTAGACAAAAATGAATTTAATCGCATTAGCACATGTGACTACACAAATGATATTTGGCATGCATTAAAAGTCACTCATGTAGGCACTAGCAAAGTCAAAGAAACAAAGATTAATCTCTTAGTTAAGGAGTTTGAAAATTTCTCCATGAAACAAAATGAACCTATTATTGATATGATTACTTTTACCAATATTGTAAATAGTCTCAAAAGTTTTGATTGCAAATTTACTAACGGTGAACTTGTAAGTAAAATGCTTAGGTCATTATCGGAAGATTGGAGCCCATTGAGAATGTTGATAGAAAACACCAAAAATATCAACACATATCCATTGGAAGAACTATATGGGACATTAATGACCTATGAAATCAACAATGCCCAAATCAAAGAAAAGATAAGGAAAAGCAAAGACGAATCCAAAGAGTCTTCAAGACACCAAATTGCTCTCAAATCGGCAATTGATGAAGGTGCGTCTAATGAAAATTGAAGTGATGAAGAATTGGATGATTTAGTTCTTCTTGTCAAGAAATGAAATTTTTTTCGAAACAATTGAAAATTTCAAAAGAAGGAAGAAAAGAGAGAAGAGAAGAACAAGAAAATCATTTGTTATGATTGTGACAAACCCGGATACAAAAGAACCGAATGTTCCAACAAGAAGAAAATTTTCAAAAAGAAGGCAATACAAGCTACATGAGAAGATAGTGATGACGATGATCAAAATGAAAATAGTGGCCAAGACGAAATCGCCAACATGTGCTTTATGGCTATTGAGGAAGAGGTAAGCTCTAAAAAAAAAAAAAAATCATTCGAAGAATTATGGGTTTGTTATGATGAAATGCTTGAAAACTTTGAAAAACTTTCCGAAAGTCATTCCATGCTCAAAAAGGATTTTTTTTTTTTAAAGATGAAATAAAGAAACTTTTGGAAAATCAAAAGGAAAATAATAAATATGATTGTTTAATAAAGAAAAATCATCTTCTTAAAGAAAAAGTAGACGACTTAACAAAAATTATTCACAAGTTCGTCCAAGGAAAGAAAAATTTTGACTTGATGCTTGGGGATCAAAAATGTGTTTTCGACAAAGGAGGTTTGGGCTACAAAC